ACATAAACCTGACGCTAATCCTAACCATAAACTTAACGATAAACCTAAACTTAACCTTAACCCTGACATTAACCCTAACCCTTACATTAACCACAAGACTTACCTTAACCCTAACCTTAACCCTAAACTCAACCTTAACCCTAACCCTAACCTGAACTCTAACCTAAATCCTAACCTTAACCCTAAACTTAACCTTAACCTCAAACTTAAACTTAACATCAACCATGACATTAACTCTAAACTTAACCTTAACCCTAAACTTAGGCTTAATCCGAAACCTAACCTTAACCCTAGCCCTAACCCTAACCCTAACCGTAACCTTAAACTTAAACGTAACCTTAACCCTAACTTTAGCTTTAACCCTAGCCCTAACCTTGACCGTAACCTTAACCTTAATACTGAAACCTAATCCTAAACTCAAACCCTAACCGTATCCCGAGAACGTGATCCTGGAGTCACAACCCTAACCCGAAAACCGGTATCCATTAACCGATACCACAATCCTAACCTCAAACGTAAAACGGAAGCCAAATGTTCTAACTCTAACCCAGAAAATCATAACACTAACCCTAAGGCCGAGTACCAACCCGAAAGTCAAACCATAATCGCAAGCCCAAACCCTTATCTCAACACGTAAACCGGACCCTAAAACGCAAATCTTAATCCTAAAACTTAACCTACGCCTAACCCTAACCCTCACTAAACCCAACAGCCTGACCGAAACGGGCGACCTACCTAATGCAGTAGAAGCATACCTGCTGATAACCAGTTCCCTAGACAAGGCAAGCACACCTACTGATTACAAGTAAGTTCGTCGACAGTATCAACGTATAATGCCTGGCTATCAACTGCGATCTTTCTCAACATCACTTAAAGGACCGACGTCCGAAGCATGCTGGTTAGCTGGAAGCACCTACCAGTCCATCGAGTCTATGCAGCTGTCTGTTTTGGCTGCAGGTTTTCGCAAGAATTTCGATCATTAGAAGAGCGAAGCGGGTTAAATGTTAACGGCTCTCATCTAAAAACGAACACGTCGGATGGTCGGCGTTTGAAGCATTTATTGGCAAATAAATATAGTCGACGTTTTCGAGATGTCTGATCACGGCTGGTCAATTGTTTTGTTGGTTTCTCCAGGTCCTTTTGCTTAAAAATCGATCGTTTTAAGCAAAAAGCAAATCTCCCTTCTACTTGGCTCTCTTTAGCTCCTGGCAAGGTTAGATCCCTAAGACTGTCTTATTCAACAGGTATTAGGTCTGAGTTCTTCTACTGTATGTCGGGAAGACGACATTCAAGTAGCATCTTCTCATGTTGCAAATACCAAACTCGGTTATTGATTGAAGAGACAAGGGGCTGTTGTGTAGCAGTTTTACCGGAAAATATAACAAAATTCCTCAAACCCCTCTGAAGATTTCGGATTACGCATCCGAATGGATACTGCGTGATGGTCCAAAAGCAGTATGGCACGCCAAGTGTGCTATGATATATGTGGAAAATTTGGAAGAAGATACTACTGACGGCAAGGAAACGGACTGTCCAAAATCCCTGCATTCTCAGAGTTGTCTGTGCCAACTTCCACACGTCACACTTGGGATTTTTTTTATCAAAAATGTTTACACTAGTCAACAGTTTGCAAATGGATAAGAGGGAGGGGACATATTCATTATGGGCAAGGCATTGTTGAAAATATTTTAGAACGAAACTGTGTGGGGAATTGACCGAAGATAAATGATGAGTTTCGAGTTAGTGATCATCACCAGCTGCAAAGTCAAGAAGCTTAGCAACTGTTGACCAATGCGGAACCTCTGCTTGGCTAAACAAACTTGATGGCAAAGTATCGTGGAATTGGAAACTTCTGTTAGCACTGCGCCAAAGCCTCCTTACACATTATAATAGGATTATTTTCGAGAGTGTTGAAATTGTGTGTTTCCTAAATTTTCGTTTCTCACTTTCGAATAACGTATTTCAAGGCCATCCTTACACCTGTGGCATTATCTAATCTATCCCCACCTAACATGTTAGACACTGCTTTCATTAAGGCGCTCATTTATAACGTCACAAGTTGCCACCGGCGCCGACCTAAATATGTTGCCCTCTACAGACTGCCGTATGCACATAACGCGGAAGATATTCAATTCTTCATTATGCGCCCCCTCTATTTATGCGGTTAATATAAAATTCTGAGTTCATTTGGATTGACACCGTGACTGGCGGTTTCTACACATTTGAGCCTCCGTCTAGACAAATACATCTCAAGTCGCTCCTTTGTGAATTGCAGTTTTTGGATTTATCTTCAATGGTGCACTCACTTGTTACGCAAAACATTGCCATAGCAAATGATCCGCGGATATGTCAGTTCAGATGAAGCAAAAACTTAATTCGGAAACTATTTGAACATTAAGCGAGAAGTA